ATTATATATATGTGAATATATGATATTTTAATCACACATACATATATATGTAATCCATCTGAACACATATGCATCTAATGTACACACGTCCACATAATCCATCTATCAGGCACCAAATCGTTTGCATTTTTCCTTGTGTTTTCTTTCTGTTTGTCTAATGGGCACTGTTCTGATTTGATATGGCCTCATTCAGAGTCCTGCCTGGAGGTACCATTCCTGGACACCTGCCAACCAAGAGGCAGAAGCAAGAGGCTTTTCGAATGCCTGGGAAAGTTTGGCACTGTCCATTTGGAGTAAAGAAGTATGTGCACGCACGTACACATGTAAGCGCATGTGCAAATTCAAGAGGAGAGTGAAAACAAGTCTTCCTGAAGGGGGTTGCAGTGCTGCCATGACTATTTATACAGTATAGGGAAATAAAAGGGAATTTTTTTGTGGCTGCCTCTGTGGCACAGCAGTGATGCATTGCTCAAGAGAAGATTCCACATGGTAACCACAGTTCAAACGCCCAGCCTGGTTAGCCTAAAACATACCAGGCATGAGTGAGGTTCAAATCCCTAGCCTGGTAGCCTAAAACTTCAACAGTCAGGGCTATCAGAGGCTTGAGCCCTTGCCTTCGCTTGAACAAGGAAGACAGAGGGTATGTTCTAATATAGGGTGGGGCAGGAAGGACCACACAAGCCCCAGAGTTGTAATCAATGATCAAGGAACTAGGGCAGAGAGCCCAGGCCTGTGTCAGGAAACAGGGAGAAGGGCGAGTGTAGAATAAGGCTTGGTCTCAGGTCTGTGACTCTGAGTTTTACTCACATAGAGGTGGCTTTTGTAGGCTTGCCACCCTGCCTAGCTGCCCATGTCCTGCCTGCTTGGAAAATGGGAAACTTTGGGATCCTGTGGGTCTTTTGAGTCTTGCTTGCTTTACCTCCTTGTGCAGTGGTGGCTGGGTAAGTACTCTGAGTGTAAGTGAGCCCTATGGAATATGTAAAGCATGTGTGTGTGTGTGACAGAGAGAGAGATCTATTTCCTCTGTCCCTCTGTCTGCCTGACTCTCAGACTATTTTTTGTTTTTTGGAGAGGTTTTCCCTATAGGGCGCGTGCACTCGCCAGACAGAGAGAGACATAGAGACAGAAAGCGAGAAATCAACCCCCAGGGGGGATGGTCACGTTGCAATCCCTTCTCCTCCATTCTCCTCTCAGGATCTTGGGCACGCATGCACACGCGCCCGGCGTGAGTTTTAAGTCACTGGGTCCCGGACACGAACCGCGGTCGACTACGTGGGAGTCCGGCGACATAGCCATTACACTAACTGCTGGTTCCCTCTCAGACTATTAATATAAGCTCCACATCTGGCTGCACCCCCAGAACATGCACTCCCCACAGCACGACGCCACTCCTTCCAACTAAACCTGTTGTTTGTTCCTTTTCTGATCGGCGCCAGGCTCATAGACCCCATGTAGGTAGAATATAACCTTCCATAAATAACCTCTAACCTGACCTACAATTTAGCCTTTGGGTTTTTGTTTTGTTTTTGTTTTTGTTCCCCCCCCCCCGTGGTGATAGAATAAGGCTTGGTCTCAGGTCTGTGACTCTGAGTTTTACTCACATAGAGGTGGCTTTTGTAGGCTTGCCACCCTGCCTAGCTGCCCATGTCCTGCCTGCTTGGAAAATGGGAAACTTTGGGATCCTGTGGGTCTTTTGAGTCTTGCTTGCTTTACCTCCTTGTGCAGTGGTGGCTGGGTAAGTACTCTGAGTGTAAGTGAGCCCTATGGAATATGTAAAGCATGTGTGTGTGTGTGACAGAGAGAGAGATCTATTTCCTCTGTCCCTCTGTCTGCCTGACTCTCAGACTATTTTTTGTTTTTTGGAGAGGTTTTCCCTATAGGGCGCGTGCACTCGCCAGACAGAGAGAGACATAGAGACAGAAAGCGAGAAATCAACCCCCAGGGGGGATGGTCACGTTGCAATCCCTTCTCCTCCATTCTCCTCTCAGGATCTTGGGCACGCATGCACACGCGCCCGGCGTGAGTTTTAAGTCACTGGGTCCCGGACACGAACCGCGGTCGACTACGTGGGAGTCCGGCGACATAGCCATTACACTAACTGCTGGTTCCCTCTCAGACTATTAATATAAGCTCCACATCTGGCTGCACCCCCAGAACATGCACTCCCCACAGCACGACGCCACTCCTTCCAACTAAACCTGTTGTTTGTTCCTTTTCTGATCGGCGCCAGGCTCATAGACCCCATGTAGGTAGAATATAACCTTCCATAAATAACCTCTAACCTGACCTACAATTTAGCCTTTGGGTTTTTGTTTTGTTTTTGTTTTTGTTCCCCCCCCCCCGTGGTGATGGGGTTGTAGCCTGGTCTGAAGGCTCCTGACTCTCAGGACCCAGAAAACAGAGTCTAGCAGTCCCTGGGTTTGTGAATCTCTAGGAATTCCTGGTTCCCCACCTTGCCCTGTGCATGGAAACAGCTCAGTGCACATTGAGGAAATGGATCGAGACTCCACCCATGAATAGCCCACACACGTGCAGCCTCAGTGCCTTTGCGTGGGCCAGGCCCTCTGCCTAGCAGGCCTGTGCCCTGTTCTCCACCTGGCAGACTTCTTAGCAGCACCCACTTCCATGAAACCATCTGTAAACATTATCCTTCATGTTTGCCACAGAGCAAATTACTCCTGTCGCTGTTCCCCTGACACTTTGTACAGAACAGTGTGACCTGATTATTTGCCACCTGCCCACCAGGCTCTGAGCAGCTTGAGTAAGTATCAGGGCCAGGACTGAGCCTGTGTCTGGCTATGACCAAAACCTTTAACCCCTTGGTATCCTCAGATTCAAACACAAACCTGCCTCCAGAGCCCGTGTCCCCACCCACGACACCATTGCTTCTCAGGGCTGAACAATGTCTCCATTTGCTGCCTGCTCCCATGTTCTCAACTCTGGACAGTCTTCATGACCTATGGATTCCCTGCAGGTATATCTAAGGCCTCCTCAGAGCCAGGTGTCATGGGAGGAACTGGCCAGCAACACCCATCAAAGACTTACTGACAGCTCTCAAAGACTTGTTAAGAATGAATTTAGGAGGGTTCACTGGGAGTTAAACTGAAGTTATCAGACAGGACCTCAGCTCACTTTGGAGAGCGAAGTTCCCTCAAACGAGGCTGGTCTTGATCTAAAACTTTGCAGTTCATCCTTTTTCCTTATGGCAACTAAAGAGTATTGACTGAGACCAGACCCGGGTGGCATTCAGCACAATGAGGCACCAGGGGAGGCATAACTTTGAGGGAAGTGCAAGGCATCATGCCTGCTTTCGAAGATCTTAGTTTCACTGAAAGGCATAAAATTCACATGTGGAAAAAAAGCTTGACTGAGCTCCCTGTGGGCTGCTCCTGAATTGTGCTTGCTTTGTGTCTATGCCAGCACTAAGCAGGGCTTGGCCAGGCTAGACAGAATGAACGAACGAATGAATGAACGTCAACTGGAAGGTGTAGAACCAAAGTTGTTGTATGAACACTGCAGAGACATCTTTTTACAGAGGGTGCAACATTTCTGGAAGGTCAGGGAAGAAGTGACAAGTAACATGAACCCTAAAGAAAGTGTGGGAGTTGTTGTTGGGGTTGGTAAGTGCGGATGGCAAAATAAGGAGGCAATAAGGAAGCTTGGCAGAATGGGCGGTGGGAATTAAGCAGTGTCAGAGGGAGAATCTCACAGTTGATCTCAGGCAAGGAGGAGCCATTGAAGGATCTTGAGCAGGGGGAGTGGCACAATGAGAATAGCGATTTGGGATGATTGTGCAAAGAACAGAATGCTAAAGGGAGACAGACAGGTTATTACAATGAGTGGGTAAAGGAATGAGGTCTAGGTTTGGAAAGGAAGGGACGAACATGGCTTTTCAGAGGAAGGACATAATTGCCACAAGGGCCACCAGAGACCAGTCAAAGGTGCCCTCCAAGGCTTGAGCGCTGCTGACCAAGACAAGGGTGTTAATCTGGATGGAAATGACATTGTGTGCGGTGGACAAAAACGAGACCACATCCTCTCGGTAACGATTCATCGTCTTTATTAACATTGCCTCTGGACTCCGAAAGAACAGATTGTTATTTCTTAAAGCAATTTTAACACTGTCATTCTCTGCAAGAAAAAAAAAAAAAACTTTTGCATAAATAACTTAAGTGAGAAAATAAATATGTAACTTAACTCTTTAAAAACTGCTGCTTTCATTCTTAGGGACAAGTCCCACGAGGAAGGATTACAAAAATGACCAGCCTTGCAGGCTTTCACATGGCTGTGCTTCTGGTTTTTGTTTTTGTTTTTCTTTGAACAATTAAAACCTACAGCGAAAGTAAGAGGTATCTGAAAATGACTTTCAAAAAAGATTTGTGGGTGGCAAGTATTACGCTTTGCAGTTTCTCAGCTTATGTACAGCACGGGCCCTCCCTCAGGATGTCCTTAAGGTAAGATACCCCTTCACGCGTAAGAGCAGCAGGAAGCTGACGTGTGGACAGAAATGCGTTTGTGAGTGGTGACAGGAGGAGGTGCCGCAGAAGGGATGTGCTGGTCTTTCTTCGAGTGGGTGGTGGCTGTTCCCCTGTGCCTGCAAGCCCAACCTCCTGGGACTTTGAACTTCTCTGTGGAAGGTGACCTCGAAATATAGCAATATCCTCCCTCCGACCACACCCTAGGGACCCTCTCCTTCTCTATCCCAAATAATGGTGTTTTTGTTGTTGTTTTTTGAGATGGAGGGGTGGAGGTAGCCAAACATCTGGGAAGGTCAGGCTAGGGAGCAACACAGCTTTTTTTCAGGAGTTTGTCAGCCATAAATATGCCACCCATAAACAGACTCTTTTCTTTTCCTGCTTGTTTTTCATCTTTGACTGTCAGATCAGAAAGCATCACAACTCTGAAGTCTGGAAGTGACCTTGGGAGTGATTCTATTCTATTCAGTTCTCTCTCTCTCTCTCTCCCCCCCTCCCCCCCCTCCTCCTCCTCCGCCCGCCGCCGCCCATTCAAAAGGCACTGCATCCTCGGAATCATGACAGTAGAATCCTGGAGACTCCGCCCCACTCCCATTTTCTGAAAAGGAACTAAAGGTCCCGAAAGACAATCCTGCAGTCCAAAGTCATGGCAAGTTAGTGGCAGAGCCAGGACTAGAAACCGTATCTAAGGACGCCTCCTGTGTTCTTGGCACGACAGAGGCTTGACCATGAGTAGATGGAGAAGGAATCATGGAACTTTCTTAACCAGTCCCCGACTTTCACACTTCCCACTGCTCCCATAATAGCGCAAGGCCGTGAAAATGCTCCCTTTCTGCCTTCTCTGAAGTGGGACCAGCAAAGGTAGCGGCCCCGGCGGGCGGGGCTGAGTGGCTCAGTGTCTGTGACTCTCAACTCCCTCCCCTGCCCTACCGGACCCCTCCTTAGCTGGTGGGACGAGGAAGGCTTTCCTGGTTCCTGGGATTCCCCAGGGCTTGGAAGGTTTCAGCCCCCTACTCTGGGTTGCAGGCATTTAAAACGAAATACAAACAATCAAACCACGCGCAGGGGACAGAAACTTGGGGGCCCCGGGGTCCCGATGCCCGCTGGGGAGGCGCCATGGGCTCTAATAGGCGTTCTCCAGCTCCGCTTGGTTGGCTTTGGCGCCCCGGGCGCCGGGCCTCTGCTTTCGGCCTTTCTGCGGCCGCGCAGCCTCGGGCCCGAAGTCCTTGAGCTCGGATTGGTTGTGGAAGCGGGTGAGACGTTTGCACTTGCACGAGGACACGAGGCGCACCTTGCGCGCGCGGGGCGCCGCGCCGCCGGGACATAACAGCTGCACGCGCTGCGCGCGATAGCGGTCTGGGATGCAGCGGAAGTCGGGCCCGCTCGGACGCCACCACTTGCCACGGCCGATGGCGTTGGGCAGCAGGCGCGCAGGGCCGCACTGGCCAGAGCACACCAGCTCGGTGACCGGCTTGGCGCTGCGGCACGGCCCGTCTGTCACGTAGCGGGTGAAATGCAGCTCGCGGCAGCTGTACTCCGACATGTCTGCGGAAAGAAGCGCGCGTGAGGGCGGCTGCGCAGCTCAGCCTTTACCAAATCCTCCTCCCCCTTCTCCCCAGTCGCTTTTGTCCCCCAGGCACCCGTGATGCAAGGCCCCAGGTACTCAGGGCTGCTGGACAATCTCGGGCTTATCCTCTCCACTTGGAGAAAGTGCCTACTGGCGCTCAAACACCTGGGTTCCATCACTTACTTCCTGTGTGATCTTGAGTAAGTGTCTTTCTTTTTTCTTTTTTGAGAGGCTTTTGCTATAGGGCGCGTGTGCTCACGAGAGAGACAGAAAGCGAGAAATCACCTCCCCAGGGGGATGGCCACGCCACAATCTCTTCTCCTCCAAGATCTTGGGCAGGCACGCACATGTGCCTGGCGTGAGTTTAAGCTACTGGTCCAGGACACAGTCGACTACATGGGAGTCTAGCTACATAGCCATTACACCAACCTTTGGTCCCAATCTTGGGCAAGGTTCTTAACCACTCTTCCAATCTGTAAAATGGTTTGTCCCGGGATTCAGTGAGATAATCCACTACATATATAATGCAGAGAATACCATTTGGCACACAGTAAGAATTGGAAGCAAGAATTGGGCTGTTATTATGTATAATTATTATTCTTCCTTTCCTAGGGGCTATCTTCTGATTTAAGCCCCATTATACTGTGGGGTCCCTGACCTGGACTGAGTGGGTACTAGCCACACCTTCCGGACCCCTCTGGCTTCTCCCAAATTCCTTTCCCAGCCACTTGGGAGGCGTGGACAGGAGATGGAGAAAGGAGGAGAGGTTAATTGAAGGTAATAAATCAGGGTTGCAGCTATGGAGAGAAGGGGTTGAAGGGGAGGTGGTCGGATAAGAATTCATTAGACTTGAAAGGGGACTACAGACTGTATGTCCAACCCCCTCATTATCAGGGAGGACTCTGAGGCCCAAAGAGAGGCAAAAACTTGCCCAAAAGGCAGAGCTGGATTTCCTGATTCCACTTCCCTGGGGTCCCATCATCTTTGCCGCCGCCCCCCCCCCAAAGGTGGAAGCTACAAATATGCTCAACCCAGAACCTGCAGGTTCAGCTGCCGCAAACTTTCACTGAGCATCTGCGTCGTACCAGGCTGTCTGCAGGGCACACGCCGTCATTGATTGGCATCCAGTGGTGATGAAGCTTGCTCCCTGGCTGAGGGGAGATCGGGCTCTGAGCCCTGGCCTGGTCCCCTGCACAGTCAATACTGTCTCCTACTATGGGCTTAGATGGGTGGGAGCTTTTAAAGAGCTGGTCCTCACGTGAACACCTGTTCACCCACAAGAGTTCCATGGGGACAGTTTCAATGTGACTAGCAGGAGTGGAAAATTGTCCTGAGACCAAAACCAGAGAGGGAGCAGAGAAGGCCAGCCCCACGCCCAGGCCCTGGACAGCAAGCACGGCAGCAGTGGCATAGGGCTTTGCCATCTTCCTGTGGCTGGCCTTCTGGCTTCTGGACTGGTTTGGCATCCACACCCCTGCAGGGCCAGTGTGGGGAGTGGCCTATTTGCCCAAGGAGGAAGGCGTTTTGGGGCTTTCCAAGAATAGTACCCCTAGGTCAGGCACTTCCTCTGCAGAGTATGGTTTTGGTTGGCACATGGCTTTCTCAGGGGCTGTGGCCTCTCTTGGGAACCCAGGGAAGTAGATGTCTTGTATTCAGGTCCCTCTCACCCTTCAGGCAGTGACTTGAGTTCAGTCGACCTTGCCTGGGGGTAGGGACATGGCGGTGCTCTTCCCTTCCTGTTTCAGACTCAGAGTCCCGGCTCTGCTCCTCTGGGGTTGCCCTTTCCAGCATCCCCAGTCTAGCTTTCTGTGAGGCAGAGGGAGATGGCATGCAGGAGTCTTGGCAGTGGACTCCTGTCCCCTGGATAATGGCCAGAGGACAGTGAGGCCCTCGCCCTGAAGTGTCATCCCAGCTCTTACCCTAGCCATTCCTGCCAGCTACAGAGCCAGCTGTGCACCCTTGTCCCCAGCTTCTCTGCACTCCTGACCAGAAGCCCAGGAACCCATAGCTTTCTCCCTCTCGCAGGATCAGGCTCCCTCCCTGAAATAAGCAAGGCTGAATCTGGGGCAAGGGATCAGGACAACTGGTGCCTCTGATGTCCACTCCCTGCACAGAGAATGCTGCCTCCCCACCAAGCCTGCACTCAGCTGCCACCCTTGCCAGAGGCTAAAACTGTGCCTACAACTAACTCCCATTGCTTCCAGTGCCAGCTCGCTGGGCAGACTGTGGGCAAGGGGAGCTGAAGGGTGCCCTCTGGCTTCCCTTTCCAATGCTTGGCGGGAATCTCAGTTCCCCTAACACCCCCCGCCATGCACTCCATCAACAGAGCCATCTTGCAACCAGATCCAGCTGGGTTCAAAGCTTAGCTCTTCTTCTTACCAAGTTACTTAATCTCTGGAGTCTCAGTTTCTTCACCTTCAAGCTGGTGGTTCACCCACAGGGCTTCTCTGAGATGGGTCTGTGGGACCCAATAGAGCACAGCCCCCAAAGAACATCTGGCATGCTCCACAGGTGTGGGGGTCCCCTTGCAGTGTCTCCCCCCAAGTAGTGCAGCAGCTGGACCTGGCTTCTGTATTCTCAGGAGGGCATTCTTGGAAACTCTTTTCTGAGCCCCTGGGCCTGTCCTCAAGCCTTCCCCTCACCGCCTAAGCCTCTTCCCGCCCAGCTCTCTCTGACCGCCCCCTGCTGGCTGGCCCTGCACTTGACCGCTCTGGCTGTGCTGGCTGGCCTCCCTGGCCTCCAGACATTCCTGTCCCTCTGCTGGCGCTGACAGAGTCTGATGCTCAACACCAGCCTTCAAAGCCTCCCAAAGAGAAAAGTCTAGAACTTCCCCGGCTGCCTCGCCAGGACCCTTTTGCTAAAAATTCTCTCCTCTACCACATACCTTTCGTCTCGAAGGGGTGGTGGGGAGGCCTTCCTCCATTCTCAGCCCGGTTCATGGTCTTGTTGTTCTCCAGCTCTGGAGGGGGCTCAGGGTACTCTCCAAGCTCAGGGATGATTTCTGTGGCGTCGTTCTTGAAGGCCTGCCAGCTCTGGCCCTCCACCACATGGAAGGCTGTGTGCACCAACAGGCAGACAAGGCACAGGGCTAGAGAGAGCTGCATGGTGCCAGCCAGGGGAGGGCACCCAGCACCCAGTAGCCCAGGCTCTGGTCCCCAGCACAGATACGTTCGCCTTTTTAAAGCCCCCTCTGCCTCCTGCCAGCCAATGAGGACAAGCTGGGGCCAGGCTGGTCCCATGTGTCCCTTGGCCCTGGGGGAGGGAAGGGGTGTGATCAGAGCAAGCCCTCCCCATAGACTTCTTCTCAAGCTCAGCAAACTTCCAAATTGCTTCTGGCCTCCCAGGTGACCCAGAGAGAGGGGGGCGTGTGAGGCAGGGCCGGAGCTGCTCTCCAGCACCTCCCACACGCAGGCGGCTGTGGTTTTCAGATATCAAAATGAGCTCCGGCTTTTAATTGTCTACCTCCCGGGGCCCCTCGGGCATTCTCAAAACAAACTGTGCACCGGCTTAACAAAGAAAACGTTGCAGCTCTGAGTTCCCCACAGGGCTGAGCCAGCGGATCCCATTTCTCAGGCCAAGTTCATTTGCTACCCCACCAGCAAATGGCCCCCCAGACCCAGCCAGAGGCAGAAGAATGCATTTTAAGAAATCCCACTTACCCCAGTTGCATGAGGCTCAGCATCTATTATCCTGACCGAGATAGCCTCTCCTGGCCTTCTCTGGAAGGCAAAGGGAGAACTAGAGGGTCCCAGCAAAGGGTGCCCACTGGGTGAGGGGTAGAAATTCTGGTGACGTGTCCAGGATGAGCAGATCACTAGGCTCCGGGGATGGAGAGCAAAGAAGACACCTCAGCTCCTGCTCCTCGGGAGTCCCGAGCACTGTGAGAGGCACTCCTTGGCCAGGGCACTCCCAACAGCTCACAGGCTGGTGTGCCAAAGGCGGTTAGTACCTGGCTAGGCTGTGGGTGGGGGTGGACAACACAGATTCCTTTTTACCTTCTTTTTTAATGTTTTGCCATAGGGCATGTGTGCTCTTTGGAGGAAGACAGAGACAGACTGCGAGAGGAAAATGAGAAATCACCCCCAGAGGGGTATGGCCACATCTCAATCCTTTCTCTATTCTCCTCCTGGGATTTTGGGCATGTATGCACACGCACCCCATGTGATCTTCAAGTCGCCATGTCCTAGACTCAAACCAGTTGGCCATGTAGGAGTTTTGCACCCTAAGTACCATGCCACCTACTGGCTCCCAGGTCCCTTTTCTTAGCAAAAAGCCAAGGCCAGCGTTTTTATTGGTGACATTCTCCCCCCTCTTGTCTGCCAGCCCATCACCTTTTTCAAAAACAGCTCTGAGGCACCAGCAGATGGTGTAGCGAAGGATTCCCACATAGTCCACCACAGTTGGAGTCCTGCATCCCCTGACTTGAAACTCACACTGGCGAGTGTGCAAGTGTGCCCAAAATCGCAGGAGGAGAATGAAAAAGGGATTGCAGTATGGCCATTCCCCCTAGGGGGTGATTTCTCACTTTCCCTATCACCATATCTGTCTCTCTCTCTCTCTCTCTGGTGTGTGTACATGCCCTAAGGCAAAAACCTATTAAAAAGTAAGTTTCGAGTCCTACATGGAAGCCCTTATCAGTGTATCACGGGTATGTTCCACGGAGCTGCCCAGGCCCCAGTAGCCACAGAGAAGCCCAGAGGAATTGCTATCTCAGCCCTGGGGTAGAAGGAAGGGCACAGGGAGGAGAAAGGCATGGGGGAGGAGGGTTCACACCTGAGGTGCAAGAAAAGAAAGGAGGACCAGCGGAAGCTTTCAGGGAGACAGATTGTTTGAGGCCCGCTCACCCACACTGCCCTGAAGGGAAGCTGGGAAGAGGGCTGTGGCCAGATCCCCTGGTATTTTAACTGGGCAATGAATCAGTATTCCCCACCCGCAGAGCCTCTGCAAGGCCTTTGCCACCTGCCCCAACTTGTAAGTCACTGTGTCCATCTGCGACGGACTGTCCTCCTTTCCATCATCCATCACGCAACACATGAATGCAGCTGCTCTGACAGTTTTACAAGCCAGACAGAAGCCCCTGCAGGAAGGGCCCTCTCTGATACCTGCTTCCTAAGTCAGTTTCCTTCGGGGCAGATGAAAACAGCTGTGGCCATTGTTGGGGGTGATCTATCTCTCCCAACAGAGTCCTGGTGTGGTGAGAAGTTGGCCCTCCACCCCCTCCCCTTGTCTGTGACCCTCTAGCCTCCTTTTCCCTTGCTCTGGAATGTAGACCGTTAACCCTATCATGGCCATTCGACTGCCTTCTCCTGGACTTGGGAGAGGGCAGTCTAATGCCCGGATTCCTTGAGCAGGCCGGAGCGGTGCTTAGAGCCCCACCTGCTGTTGGAAACCGTTGGACCATCCACATTAAACACAGAGCATGGGGCCCATCCTTGGAACACTTCTGCCACCTGCAGGAGTTAAAAGGAGGAGCCAGCGACTGGAGAATAGAAAGGCTTTCATTTCATTTCATTTCATTTGGAACTGAAGTAATATTAAAGGGAAAAAGAGAAAAAGGCCTAGCTTCTTGGGAGGCTGGAAGCCATGTGGGAGATCCAGGTTTGGTTTCCAAGCCAACCTGAACATGCTGGGTACAATAGCACATGTCTGTGATCCTAGCTAATTGAAATACCTATCTAGGGGCCAAAGGTTGTATGGTGAGAGAGACAGAGAGACAGAGAGACAGAAAGTGAGAAATCATCCCCCCAGGGGGATGACCACACCACAATCTCTGCTGTTCCATTCTCCTCTCAGGATCTTGGACATGCATGCACACATGCCCGTGTGAGTTTAAGCCACCGGGTCCAGGACTCAAAACGCGGTCAACTACAGGGGAGTCCAGTGACCTAGCCATTATGCCAACTGCTAGTCCCCGTCCAGTGATAATATCTTGCAAAATTATATTAGGTAAGGGGACCAGCAGGAGGCATGGTGGTTAAGGTACTGGACATTCCCATATGGCCAACTACAGTTCGAGTCCCGGACCTGGTGGCTTACTTCCTTACCTCCCTCTTTCTCTCTCTGTATGTATCTCTCTCTGGTCAAATTAAAAATAAATGAATAAATAAAGTTAAATAAATAATTCTTTAAAAAATTATATTAGGTTGTCGGGAAAGTCATGATATATTTTTCTATGCAAAAATGCATCACGACTTTCCCAGTGACTCAGTGGTACAATATCTTAACCAGGATGCGCTGATCAGTATCACCCAATCCACCGAATCTGCTCGAATTGCCCCAGTCTTACTTGTACTCATTTGACTGTGTGTGTGCTGGTGTATTTTGTTCTATGCAATTTTATCATGTGTGTAGATCTGAGCATCCACAATCACCGTGGAGA